AGCTAAGCAGGGTCAGGCCTGGTTAGTACTTGGATGGGAGACCACCTAGGAAGACCAGGTGCTGTAGGCGTAAAAAACAAAAAAAAAGGAAGAGAACCTCTTGACCAACCGCCCCCGGCCCCCATCAAAGCAGCATACCCTCGACACTTGGTCTGCTCTCCCCTACCCTACTTTATTTTTCTTCAGTGCCTCTATCTCTGTACCTGCCTGAATGTGATGAGTTATTTCAAGGCCAAGGACCTGGTCTGTCTAAGCACCTCAACTCCTAGAGATTACCCAGATGTTCATATGTGCCAAATGAATGACTGTATTGGCCAATATGGATCAACTGGTGCATAGAAATGATATATGTAAAATCTAGCTTGTAGACATTTACACATCAGTCCAAAAATGATAACTACTACATGTTGCCGGTCAGGTGAAAAATGATCAGTGTTGCTTATTGTTGGTCTGAGATAACCAGAGCCTGTTGGATTCTCCGGCCCAGTGAAAGTGTGGTGTGGAGGATGAGACGAGCAAGCCAGTGAGGGAGCCTTTAGCACTGTCAGCTTCATAATCATTTTTCACGTCAAGAACTGCCTGCTGGTCTGTCTCTGGCTTCCTACTGGATTAGCAAATGTTTGTTATCTTCAATTTGCAGGTTTAATTTATGCCATATCCCTTTTTAAAAAGGATTCCACCTTTTCTTGGTTATTTTAATATCTCTCTCTCTTTTGGACTTTACTCATTCCTGCATTCTTTGCGGTTATCCGTTACAAAGCAACACTAATTGTTTCAAGAAAATAAAACCGTAGATTTATATTTTGCAATATTTTCCAAAATTATTAAAATGTTGTCATTGAGACTATTTCAAAATCAAATCTCTAAGTTGTTTTTGATATTTCGATAATGTATATTAAGCATTTGTTTTATTTAAATCAAAAGGGGTGTTTTTATGAGATAACATAATTTCTCGATTCTAAGATTGAGTGATATGAGAATATTTACCTTAGGTAGTTTTATCCGTCAGAGAGCATTTTCATACATGACTGCTCTCATCTTGAACCTCCCACAATTTCATGCTGTACAAATGCATTTGTTATCATTTGTATTTTTCCACAAGGCATCCGGGGCTCAGAGAGGGTCAGTGACTTGTCTTTATTCACCCACTTGGTGAGATATAGATCTAGGGCCCAAATCCCGTGTTCTTATTTCAAGTTGTCTGGGCAAAATCGACTCAAGAAACAGCAATAGAATGTCTACTTTAGGCGTTATTTCTTTTTACTTCGAACTGTGGAACATTATACATCTACACTTGTACAGCCACCTCGTATGTGCAGAATTCGATGGAGAGCCATGACGTCCAGCTTCTGCGTAGGCACGGCCATGTAAATGGCGGCGCTGAAGTGAAGGTGCCTACACAGAAGCAAGGGATGTCCAAGGTCTAGTGCCCATCCCCCCTCCAGTGGTCCAGCCTGCCCAGCCCTCTGAGCCCTTGGAGCCCATACCCTGCTCTGTGCCACAGGACTGAACCTTTTTCTGTCTCCTCCCACCACCAAAGCCACAGCTCAGTGGCCAGGAGTAGCTCGGGTGCTGAGCCATATGAGCCGTGAGGTCAGCCCTAGCAGCCGTGAGCAGGTGGCTAACGTTTTATGACAAATAGTAGCTCTTGCTCAGCACCCATCTCAGGCCCAGTCCCCCATCAGTCGGTCTTCTGTCCTCCTGGGTTCCCGGGCCTGCAGGAGGTATGGCCTGCACGGAGCACCCGTGGGCTATTACATGACCCTTTGGCCCTCCGAGTCACAACCTCTATGCCTGGCAGCTGAGTATTCATGTCTCAGATGCAGGTCTTCAGACCCATTGATTTCAGAAACATCGCAGATGAGAATTGCCAGGGCCTGAGCTCCTTAGAACCAAACTTTGTCTTGGGAAGAGGATAAGTGGGGAGAGTAAAACCATACAACAGCGTCAGCATGTTGACTTTGGATGCTGTAAGCATCGTTGCAGAAATTGGTCAGAAAGTGCCCTGTGGACACAGGTATCACACTCGATGACCTCGGCCATTCTGAGCCCTGAGCTTGGTCAAGGCGAGGCTCTCACGATCATTCTCCATCCACGTAATTGCCCTTCATGTCTGTGACGTTTTGGACAAAGTCACAGATTTCTTTTTTTCTTTGAATCAGCAAGTATATACACCATCTCATGAAATTTGGGAGCATATTCCCAGAAGAGATTGTGTGAGAATTTTCTTGAAATAGCCCCAAATAAAACAGGTCTGTTAGTATGGGTCTCAAACGTTCTTTCTTGAGCAGGAGGGGTAGAAAGCTGGAACCCCAAAACTTACACTTAACCTTTGATCCCTTGCTTCTCTTTTCTCTCCTAGTTCCCTAAGTTTCTCTTGCCCATAGCTGCGCCCACCCGTGAGCAATGGAAACTTGATCACAATGGATAAACAGTACTGTTTTTTGAAAGCCTTGTCTCATTCAGTACTATACATAATGCTTCACTATGCAAATGTATTTTGCATAAAGGATTCCATAGGGAAACACTATGAACTTATAGTTTTATCAAGAGCCTGCTAATAAAAGGGTATAATATACTTTTCAAATATTTAATCTATTACATTTTTTATTAATATCAGCACATAGAAAGTATGGTATCCACAGAAGTAGACCTTATCTTAAGATGCTTATTCCTGCCTTAGACCATTGGTCAAGGTATACTGATAAAAAGTTCCTCCTGCCTAGTAAATGCTTACACTAACAGAATTTTCACACATGCCCTGGGATCATGTCACCACTTAAAGGATCAGCAGGTCTTTTTCATTCCTTATCCTTAGATGTTTTCAGAGACTTAGAATCATGGAATGATGATGAAGTTACAACTGTAAGTCTGCCAGTGATGGATAACTTTTATTTAACTATACAACATTTGGATGTACAGTTCACTCTTAAACATCACGGGTTTGAGCTATGCACATCTACTTATACACAGATTTTTTTCATCTTACAAACAGACTATATAAACTTATAGTATTGTTAAATACAGTATTATAACTGTATTTTTAATGACATTTTATTTTCTTTAGCTTATTTTGTTAATACAGCATATAATACCTGAAACATAATCACTGTTTAAGTTATCGGTAAGCTTCTGGTCAACATTAGGCTATTCGCAGTTAAGTTGTGGGGAGTCAAAAGTTACATAAGGATCTTCAACCACGTGGAGGATCAGTACCCATAGGCCCCACATTATTCAAGGGCCAAGTAAAAGGACTGTTTTCTTGCATTTATACTTGAAGTCCTTGCAATATTATCAAAACCTCAAGAAGCAGGAAGAACTGGCAGCAGGAGCTCAAGGAATAGCATCCTTAAAATATATTCCTGGAAAATATGAGCACGAGATAACATTTAGCATGCTGTCGGCAGGCGATAAATTAGATGCAAGGGACCTAATTATGTAAACCGGTTATTTTGGACCTATCATTCCTCTGAACACTCTGAATCAAGATTGATTTAATTACTAGAGAAGGGAAAGGTAAGGAACTCACCTGCCCTGTTCATTCCTCAAAGCAGTCAGTGATTTTCATTCACTTAATTCATAGAATTCTCAGCCATGCTGCAGTCATTCAAAAATCCTGTTTTCTGTTCATTTAAATTTAAAGCTGCCTGTGTAAATATATCAGTAAGACGTTTATCTGTTGGCAATTTCAGAGCTTCTGAATGACATTTTCCTCAGATATACTAGACACGAATATCAAATAAAATCCTTGTGGTTAGGTGATCCAGAGGAAGGAGCACAATCATTGAGCATTGATGATTTGGCCTTTAAAGCGGCTGCCAGTGAAGGCCATGGACCAGCAGAACAGAGGTAAAGCTGTCCACAAACACCACCAAAATGAAAGGACTCCAGGACCCTGTTGGTTTAGGCTGGAATGGGGGCTCCCCATGGGGCCTGTTCAAAGGCAGTTGACAGCTCCTAGCATGCCCTGCGGGTATTAGCATTGGAGATGCAGCCCCATGTGGTTCCTGTGTGTTCTTCACTCACATTATTGGGTAATATCCTCTCCTTGATGCCTCTTGGCCTTCATTGTCCCTGGGTGCCTCCTACCCCATCTGCCTCCATGGACATGATTCTGACTGCCTCCAATGAAATATTGGCTCTCAACCAACGTTTCCTTTTCCCCGTGTCAACTCAGCCTCTTAGCGCTCATCCAATTTTATTGTCCCATGTGCAGAAGTTCCCTAGCCCACAGCATTGCTTCGAAGCTGCACCTCTGCAACAGAATGACACGGAAAAGGATTTATATCTCTAAGGCGAGTGACATATAGCCTCGACTTATAAATTCAACCAATTATTGACAGCCATTTATCCCTTCCGCAGAGGAAGGTAGACTGTAAATGCAGATGCTCCGATTTAGAGGGTAAGAGTACAAGAAAATACCACTCGAAAACACTTTAAAATCCGCCTCTCTCGGGGACTTAGGCTGTGGATAAGTCTGAACATTTCAGCTTGTTCATTGCCAGGAAAAATCTGCTGACGGGGACAGACGGGTTCACTTTTCAGGAACAGCATCAGGATGGCTTTCCATCGGCATGGCTTATTCATTTGCTCTTGACTTTAACTGTTTCTGTTGTAAAACTGAAAATGAAAGGACTGCGGGAGAATGTCTTAGGTTTGACTCTGCCCGATCCCTTGAGAACAGAAGCCCTCAAGGGATGCCCTCCAGGCTGAGCAAAAGGACGTTTCATGGGCCCCGTTCCGTGTGGATTTCTCTCAGAATCGCCATCAACCTTCTAGGGAGATGGGATCTGGGAGCAGATCGAGGCAGCTGAGTGATGCCGATAAGCTGGTTAGCTTGACATATTGCTGCCGTTTGTGTTGTTCATTTGAGTTTCTGCAGATTTCAACATTTCTGTCCCAAAAAAAAAAAAAAAATCAAATACATCATGGATATAAAAAAAGACAAGTTCCGTTTGCACGTGGGCCAGGCCTTCACGTCTCCTGTTGTTTTATTTCAGCCGGGTCCCGGGCCTCGTACAGCAGCCAGCACGGCCACCTGGGCCCCGAGCTGCGGGCTCTGCAGTCGCCCGAGCACCACATAGACCCCATCTATGAAGACCGCGTCTACCAGAAGCCTCCTATGAGGAGTCTCAGCCAGAGCCAGGGGGACCCTCTGCCGCCAGCACTCACCGGCACCTACCGCACGAGCACAGGTGAGTGTTCAGGACCCCACTCGGGGGCCTGTGCAAGGAGGGCGGGCACAGCTGGGGGCTTACGTAACGCTCTCTTGTGAAAGGGGGCCGTGTGTGTGTGAGTGAGTGAGTATGTGTGCGTGTGTGTGTGTGTGTGTGTGTGTGTGTGTGTCCTCTCTCCCCACAAGCGTTGTGGCCTCTTATATCACCAGTGTCTGTGCCGATGGTGACAGAAACCAATCTGACTCCATTTTAGCTCCCTGAGTATATTGTAAATGGAAGAAGGACCGTGGGGGGTGGAAGCTTATTTTGTCAAACAGGCAAATCGAAGGAAACAGTGCTAATTTTTTGCGCATCATTATTAATGCATTTAATGAATATATGTATTCCAAGAAAACACCGTCATTATACGGGACGTAATGAGCATGTAGGCATGCTCATATGCTGGTAAGCATTTTTTAATAATATACTTATTTGGCAAGCTTGGGAAAAACATATTTACTAAAAAGGTAGCATATTTTGTACATTATTTCATACACACTATTAGGTTAAATCATATGAAATTATCATTTAAAGGTTGGATATTGGCCATTGAATATGTTCAATCAACTTTATTGCTCTCCTATATATTTTGAATTGAACACCACCACAGGCTGCATGAAGAAAGACAAGTATTTTTCGAGAACAAGTAGCCATTTGCAAAATAACTGGTCAAATGTCATGGTTAAATGTGCTGGAGAACACTTATCTTAACTACAAAATTGATATAATTAAGAAGATGTCGAGAATTGCACTTATAAAGCCTCTCATTGCTAAGTAAACTTAGAAACTATTGTGGAGCTGACTTGCAGACAGTAGGCTCTCTCTCTCTCTCTCTCTCTCTAATGCTCCACGGTACCAGGACGGGGGCCGAGGTGTGGAAAGGCTGAGTCTCTGGCATAGAACTTGGTACACAGGGCTCTGTGCGTGCCTATGTCTGAAAACTGTTATAACTTCTAGTTACCCCGAAGTAGAGCATGGCAATTTTGTTAAACTGTATTATGATACTAAATTACACGTTTTGAAATCCAGGCCAGTATTGTTGCTTTTATAGTTGATTATTGATATTCACATTTCAAGATTTCACTGCATCATAGGAAAAGAGGCACAAAATCCTCTTTATTTTATTTTCGACATCACAAATTCCATCCAATGCTAATAATACATATCTTGGTTTAACTGAAAAAGAATACCCATTTATTCTTCTGTCAGAATCTCTCTCACCCATCAGCCCGCACATCCATTCCCATCTGAGGCTGGGCTATTTTAACATTTGAGTTTGTTGCATATTATTAATATGAACTATGGTAATTATATTTCCATGCGTCCCTTAGAATAGACAAAGATAAAAACCTCAGTGATGTTCAGTATCTAATTTGAATAAAAGCTGATGACAAAAGGGGTCATGTTGATTCTCTGTTCCATATTCATATGTTCATAGAATTATCTTGTTAAAAATTTCTAGAGGTTAATGAAAATTAGCTACAATAAGAAAAACAATGCTTCATTCATCTATGTCAGATCAAGACAGAGGAAGACATTCACAGTTTTAAAAAATAAAACCATGGCATTTTCTCTAAGCCAGGGGTCAGCCAACTGGGTCTCATGGGTCTCATGGGTCTCATCCAGCTGGCCACCTGCTTCTCTAGCACTCATGAGCTAAGAACGGCTCTTACATTTTTAAATGGTTTACAGTCTAAAGATGGATACGATTTTATGATATTTAAAATTTATATGAATTCAAGTTTCAGTGTCCACAAATAAAGTTCTTGGAGTATGGCCACACCCCTTCATTTGCTGTCATTTATTTGGTGTCATCCTTAAATTTTCCGCCACAGTGGCCAAGTTGAGTAGTCGTGACAGAGACGAGATGGTTGGGAAAGCTGAGAATATTTACTTTCTGGCCTGTTGGAGAAAAAGTTTGCCAACCCCTACTCAGAGCCATCGGTGGAAAACCGTGCTGACCGAGTGAAGGCTGTTTTTCTTTGGCCCCTCCTATGAGGGAAGGCAGCAGTGTCCTCTCAAGGGGACACTTCAAAGTGTCATTTCAAAAAGGGAAAAGCTGTTTGCCCAGGCTTTTCCCAGGAGCCGGAATCTCTGCCCTGGCAGAGAACTGCTGAAGATGTGACAGCCAGATGTCCAAAACCTCACCTTAGTCCGCACCTTGGAACTTGAGGCACTTTTGAGGAAATATGCCAGTTTATGCAACGCTACAGAAATTTCCAGAAGTGCTTGGATGGTCTCTCTGGGTGAGGGAAGAAGCCACCTCTTTCCCGCTCCTAAACATAAAACCACAACTCTGTCTCCCCTGCACTCACCCAGGTTACTCCCTGTTTATACACTTATTTCATTTCCAATTCGTACACTTTCACAGCTAAATCTGCAACTCCAGGCACGTTCTCTATCAGAACCCATATGTCTGCGAAAATGTCTTTAATAGGGATGTATGTCTTTTACTTATAAATTATATACATAGTGTACAATGTTACTTTTTAACATTTTTTATTTTTCAGTTACATTTGGCATACAATATGATATTAGTTTCAGATATACAACATAGCGATTAGACATTTATGTAACTTACAAAGTGATCACCTTGATAAATCTAGTACCCCTCTGACACCATACATAGTTATTATAATATTATTGACTATATTCTTTATGCTATACTTTACATCCCCATGACTGTTTTGTAACTACCACTTTGTTGATCCCTTCCCCTTTTTCACCCACCTCCCTGACCCCCTCCCATCTGGCAACCATCAAAACATTCTCTGTGTCTATGAGTTTCTGTTTTGTTTGTTTTGCTTTTTTTACATGTAAGTGAAATCATACTGCATTTGACTTTCTATGTCTGACTTACTCCACTTAACACAATACTCTCAAGGTCCATCCATGTCGTTGCAGGTGGCAAGACTTCATTCTTTTTTATGGTTGAGTCATATTCCATTGTTTATATGTACCACCTCTTTTTTACTCATTCATCCATTGATGGACTTCCCTACTCGAGGTCGCTTTCATGTCTTTGCTATTGTAAATAATGCCGTAATGAACATATGAATTCGCATGTCTCTTTGAAGTAGTGTTTTGAGTTTTTTCTGGATAAATAACCAGAAGTGAGATTACTGGGTCCTTCTTTATCTTTTCTTATAGCCTTTGTTTTAAAGTCTATTTTATCTGGTATTAATATTGCTACCCCAGCTTTTCTGTTTGTTTCCATTTTCATGAAATACCTTTTTTTCATCCCTTTAGTTCAGTCTGCGTGTGTCCTTCAATCTGAAGTGAGTCTCTTGTAGGCAGCATATGTTAGGGTCTTGTTTTGTTATTCATTCAGCCACCCTATGTCTTTTGATTGGAGCATTTAATCCATTTATATTTAGAGTAATTGTTAATACATATGTAGTCATTACTATTTTATTATTGACATTTTTTTTTTAATTTTTTTCTTCTTCTTTTTAAAGAAGTTCCTCTAACTTTCCTCACACTGGTTTGACGGTGATGGACTCCTTTGACAATATTATTAAATTATTTGAGGTAAAAGTCAAGATTAAAAATAGATAGAAAGAAAGATTGTCAGATTGCTTTCCCATATCCAGGGGGCCATTTCTCACACCCGTTGTGTTGTACACACCCCACACTGGAGACCACCTTCAGGGGGCTTCCATGGTCAGAACAAACACCCTAACTCCTTAGGAAAAGAGGACGTGGTCTTATGAGGCCCGTTAGACTGGAAGTGTATAGGGGACACTGGCTTTTGGCTCAGGTTGGTGGCTGAGTGGCTTTAGCAACCAGGCTTCTCTGCTGTTAAGTGACAGGCCAGTGCCTGGCATTCTTTCAGGTTAATCCCTAAAGCATTTCCTATCTCTGACTCTTCAGGCTCAGGCACCCCGGCCACTACAACCAACACAGACCTCTTCCCCATGCAGGCCCAGCAGAAGGGAGTGGGCTCCGAGGCTGCCTTCTGGCCTCCCTGGGCCCAGGTTGACACAGAAGCCAGCATCCTGGCCCCAGAGACTCGGTAGCCTAAGAGAAGGTAAAATCCACCAGGTTCAGGTAGAACCATTGAATCAGCAGTGGTCCCTTGTCAATAGGGCTTCCCAGAGAGCCCCCTCTCACCAGATCTGACAGCCACTCCTCTCTTGCGGAGCCAGTGAATGAGTGGAGAGAGAGAGGGAGACAGAGACAGGCTGGCTGCCATTAGTGATCTCGGCCTGGTCAGGGAGGCAAGGTTGTGTGAACAGCCACAGAAATAGCAGGCCAGGGAGTCGGACGGTGGCCTGAATATCCCCACGTACTTTTATAGGACAGTCAGCCTAACGTCTTAGGCTTTAATTCTTACACAATTAAAATTTAAAGAGGCACTTTTAGCTATGGTGTCTATTTAAATAAAACATACCTTTCATCTGGGTTAAGACTTGTCAGAACCAGAGTTTATACAGTGCATACAGCCAGACATGGAATATGTGAACCTCATGGATTTGCTTATGGTCAAGTCGATTAAGCAGAAACTAAATAACACAGATTTTTATTTTAAACTCAAAATATATCAATGACTATCAACTTAGGAGTCATTTGATTAACGCAGACACTTGACTGCTAACAACCCCTAAACACATCTTTCAGAAAAACTAGTGAAAATGGCCAACGTTTGCTCTGATGATAGACACTCAAATTTCCTTTTGGTTAAATGTGATTCTAAGTGAGTGGAGAAAACAAGCTTTCTGTAATGAAAGTGTCAGCTTGTAATAAGGAATGAATTATCATAGATACATTGCAGAGGAAAACATGCTAAGTATGAGGTTGACAAGTATTGCAGCATAAAAAAAGAAGAATGTGGTGAAAATATTGCACATATGGAGAAAGTGTTTTTTTAAAAAAACCTTAATTCTCTGTAGTAATAACCAGTGCTTAGTAAAGTTACAGAAGGAATACATAAAAACTTTATGTTCATAACATTATCACGATTCTTCAACGATATATAA